AAACAGTCACCATCCCATTCTTGCCGGAAAGCGGGTCCGGCGTCCCTCACATTAGCCGTGGTGCTTTGGGCTGGGCACGGCACTCCTGGCCAAACCCATCCCCACCACAGCAAAAGACCTGTGTTGGATGGTTTATCAGAAAAGAAAACAGAAAAAACCGACAACAAACTCCCATTACCCCAATCTACCAACTGTCTATCAACTGTCTATCTATCTATCCAACGCTTGTCTCCGAGCAGCAAAAGGGATGCATAGCCTAAACAAGTCAACTTCAAATGAGCAGCAATTAATCTACCATTTGTGTACAATCCGTCCACAATTCATGAACCAAAGCAATAGTAAGCAATATTCAGCAAAAATAGGCAAAGCTAAACGAAAAAGGCAGAAAATCTCAACACCGGTGATCCGTGTAGCTGCATGTCCACGGTAGCCAGGCCCGAAAAAGCTCCCCATCTGTTCCCAAACCACTTGAGTGCCTTGGCTGAGTACCCCTTTTTGAGGACTCGGTGCTCCCAATCTGCCGAGATGGCCGATTTGATGGAGTATTTAATTTCCGCTCTGACCATTGGCGGCGTCAAACGCTCTCCTCTTCTGATCCTTGTGTTCCTGAGGTTCCAGAAAGTCCGCAGTATGGCACCTCTAATTGTCTCTTCTGTGAGTCCAGATTGTAATTGGGGTGTCGTTCTCCTTGCGGCGGTCCCTACGAGGATGAAGTTATCCTCCCAGCGGGACTCCGCCCCGGGGATGGGCACACCCGATTGTCGCCACCATTCCCAGAACGGCCTGGTAAGCTCACAATGCAACAAAAAATGTTGAATGTCCTCCATCCGGGTCCCCGGGCACAGTTGACACTCCGGTACTGCCTTAGTAGTCTTCCTGGCACACCAAGTGTTGACCGGCAATGCCTGGTGCATCAGCAACCAGAGCAAACTTGAATGCTTCATCACCGTCAGTTCCAACAGCTGTTTCCAAAAGGCCGGGAGTGCCGCTGTTAATCGTGTCACAGTATCTGCCACCCAGCCTGTTGCCATCCATCTTCGGGCCACTGTCCAATTGATATCTGTCGACGGTGTCATCAAAAGGTAGCCAAGTTTTGTCGTGTATTCTGTTAAGATTACCCTTTCGTCAGGATGTAACGGATGCTTCCACGCCCAATCTCTGGGATCGACCGGTAAGTTGTATGTAGGCGTCTGTAAAAAGAACGGCCTGCAACTTTGTTTGAGTTCCAATACACAAATCGGCACTAGCTGATCAGCAGGGGGGAGAGGAAGCTGTTCCTCTGACAATTGTAGAGGTTCCCCCACCGAATCAGCCCCTCCTCGTACCTGCCAGCAGGTGTTTGGGATTGCCACCACGTCCGAATATTCCTCTATTCTCCAAATGAGGTCAGGCGCCGGCTGTTGAGTTCTCTTATACCACATTCCTTTGAGCAATCTAGGCCCCATTCTCAACGTCTGCACCCAGTGTTGAGGCACCGCATTTTTCAGCTGTTCCAGATGCTCAGCCTGGTGCCACAATCCCGAAAGTTTTGGAGCCAACAATTCTACGGATTTCCAGTCGGAGGTCTCCAAGTCCCAAATGTCAGCTATAGTTCCTATCCCTCGAGCCATCCAGTCCCAAATGTCAGCTATAGTTCCTATCCCTCGAGCCATCCATGCATTGCCAAATTCTCGTGGTCCAAAGCATCTAAAAGGGCACCCCTGAAGATCTAGCAAAAAGGGATTATTGAATAGTGGCTGCGTCATCAGTCTCTCAAAGACAAGGGGGGGAGGTTGCAATTCAGGACAAACTCCTCTCCATGCTTTCAATATCCCTGTCCATATACCAGGAGGTAATCTTTTGCGGTGATAATCAGGATTAAGGACCGTTAACCATATACATCTAAGATCTGTCCATTCCAACTCGGAAAACAGTGAATATTCAGCAAGCTGCCGCCATGCCGAGTTGGGGCTTTCCGAGATTACCCACGACACCCATCTCGCAAGAAGAGCCTCGATTTGTCGTTCTGGGTCCAAGATCGCCAGTCCCCCCTTGCATTTTGGCTGGGTAATGGTCTGCCATGCAACTTTTGGCAGGAAATTATCATCATTCAGCTCTTCTTTCCACAGGTAATGTGTCAGCAAATGTCGTATGGTCTGAAGCGACGGCGGGTCGAGCTGATGCAGTGATCTGTGGTACCACACTGTGGACAGCACCGCATTATTGATTACCAAGGCTCGACCAAACAAGCTGGCTCCCTTGTATTTGATCCATGGCTGTAATGCTGCTCTCAGGCCCGCCACAGCTACAGATGGGTCTTGTATCAGTCGCGGGTCGAAAGACAGCTGATGACCCAACAGTCTTTCGTGCGTAGTCGGAGCCACTATCGTGAGTCCCCAGGTAAGCGGTGGCTGTTGACCAGGAGGTATCAAGACGGGGGATTTTGTCCAATTGACCTGGGCCTGTGAAAGATGGCAAAACAGATCTATAGTATTTCTCAGCGCAAAAAAGGCTTGGTCTGTCAAGGGGGAGAAGGCAACAGAGTCATCTGCAAACGCTTCCGATTTCAGCTGCTCTCCGGAAGGAAGAAGAAAGCCCGGTATCTTTGGGCTCGATCTCATCATGATATGCATAATCTCTACATACATTAGGTACAAATAGGGCGCCACAGGGCACCCCTGTCTAACTGATCTACCTAATCTGATCGGGGCTGACAGGGCCCCATTCACACAGATCTGGGAAGTGGCGTTTTGCAACAGGCTGCCAACAACATGTTTAAACTTCGAACTAAATCCAAAGGCTGTGAGTGTTGCTTGCAAGAACTCCCAGCCCACACGGTCATAAGCTTTGGCCAGATCCAGTAAAATGATGGTCAGGTTCTCCTCACCCGATGCCACCAACTCGGCCAGTTGCTCTGCTACCATCACATTGTGTAAAATTTGTTTGTTCTGAAGGAAGCCTGTCTGGGTTCGGTGTATGAGGGACGGGAGCACTTTCTATAACCTTGCAGTCAGTATTTTGGAGAGGATTTTATACAACACAGGCATAAGCGTGATAGGTCTGTAATTCGCTATGTCTGTGCGATCCCCTTTTTTGAAAACAAAGGTGATGATACCCTATAACGCTGGAGCAGGCAAAGAAGCTCCATTCCACACACTTTGACAGATGATCAACAGTTCTGGTAGCAGATGTAGTGAGAACCCTCGAAAAAATTGGGTTGGCAGACCGTCCAATCTAGGTGTTTTATGGCATGCTAGTGACGCTACTGCGTCCGCCAGCTCCTGCATGAGAATGTCAGTCTCCAGCGATTGTTGTTGTCGATCCGTCAATTTATTACTCACTTTTGACCAGACTTCTTCATGGAACTGCTGGAGCAGTTGCTGTTTCGTGTATTGCGCTTGTGATGTAAACAAACTTTCATAAAATAAAGAGATATTTACTACAATTGCTCGGGTTTGTGTGGCCAATGGTGTTGAAGCATCGAATGGGTGTCGAATAGCGGTTATCAGCTGCGGTTTCCGGGGCGGGCGGTGAGCGGCAAAAAAGGAAGAAGTCATGCGATCTCCTTTCACCAACCAACCTATTCGTCTATTGTGAATTACATTCCTCATCGCTGGTTGGGTCCATTCCACCTAGCGCTGTCGAAGCTGTTCCGTTCGAGCGATGAGGA